TTATCTAAATGAGAACTGTAAAGACCTCTACGTTCCTTTACTGTCTCAGGATAGCTCAACCTACTGGGCAAAAGGGAGTTTGAGAAAGGACATACTTACACTGTTATAAACAATTCCAAAAATATGAATATCATTTTTTCTTTGCCAGTAAAACTTGTTCATAAGCGCTCGTTCAGGAGGTTCTTAACGATTCACTTTTTATGAAGATCTTTTATTGTAGTGGGTACAAATGCCTTGGGGTGAGTGCAGGAGGAATAGTACTAGGAAAAAATCAGATGCGTTTCGGCTTCTGTGCAAGTCTATTTAAAAAGAAAATAATACAAAAAGTGTAACAGGCCTGCCACTTGCCTATGTGCTTCATATAAGCTGAAGAATTCTGCCTTCACTGCTTTAATGTGCTTTAATAAAAGCCAGTGCTGATGATCCTGCATGCTAATTGGTATTTAACAGTCCGGTAGAGGTATCTTTGGCCCAGTGTTGCAGAATGGGACAAATAGGAAGTGTTTGTTTCTTATCTATATTATATTTCTACTTTCCGCTTAGTTGCTTGATCTACCTTTTATCCTTTCCCATGCCTTGTGTTTCTCTTTGCTAAAATAACCTTTATTTTCCTGTTGTACTCTTCTTCCTTCCTCTGTGTGCTCCGTCGTACCCACCTGCTATTGTTTTTCCTCTCCACCTTCCTGCTTTTATATCCTTTTGTATTTTCAAAAGCCAAAATGTCTGTGTGATGGGGACTTCCCATTGTCAGAGTACTCTTTATAAATATACAGAACGCACTGTTCAACGTGTTTATTGTTGTGGAGGCTGACCAACACAGGATCTGTGACTGAGGGGGCACTTGCTGTTACGGCAAACCCGTCTAACCGCTGGCTTTGCTAAAAAAGTGGCTTTATTTGTCATGCCAACCAGCTGGGGTTGTCACTGTTTTTTGTCCCAGTGCTTATCTGACCTGTGGTGACCTGGAGCAGGGAGCTTGCTTGGTAGACAAATGGATTTGCTTTTTTTTTTTTTTTTTTTTTTGGAAAAAAAAAAGAAAAAAGCTGTTAGTTTTTGGCTATTAGCCTGAGTGTGGTGACCATAGGACACCTGTGCAGGAGTGGGAATACACCTTTGCCCTTTAACCAGCCACTGCTTTGGAATAGTGGTAGTGTGAAAGACATCCTTCTCCTTGTTAGTGTAGTTCTGGTCTTGTTAGTGGCATGCCGGCCTCTTGAGTGAACAGAAAGACTGGGTTTATTTTTTATTTTTTTAATATTTTATATACTTATGCTAGAATTTCTACCATAACAGTTGTCTTTAGCTTTGATTTCACAACTTGTGGAAGAATGTTGTGCTAGATTTGGAGGGGAGACTTTCGAGTGTTATAGCTTATATGAATATAAGACAGGGAAACAAATTTAGACAAGAGGATTCTGGCAGCCCTGGATTTTTGAGGTGCACAAGGTACTGTCGGTCATGCAGGAGTCTTGTGATGAATTGCGGTGGGAAGAGAAATCCGTATGGAGAGCTAAGTGATGCTGTTAAACAACAACAAAAGAGCTGTCTCAGTGTTGGAAAAGGGGGCAGAAACCCTGAGCTGTCAGGAAGGTTTTCCTGGGAGTTGGGTGTAGCTTTTCAAAAGGACTCGAGTAATGGTCTTGAAAGCAGGGAGAGTCGTTGCAGATGGTGGCTGACGCCAAGTGATGTGGAGCAGGTAAGGGACAGCAGCTAAAATCTTGAAAAGATCCTCTTTGGATTCTCCTTCTGTAAGCTGCTGATTTGATTTATTTTACTGGTGTGGGGTATTTTTTTTTTTTCAGCACCTTTGAGAGCTTCTTCCTTCATCTAGGGTAGTCTGTGGTTTGCGGGCTCTACTAATTATAAGGCAGTGGGAGTTTAACTGTAATAATGAAAGTGCAGTGCTGCAGATTGCCTTTCAAGAGAAGCTGAGCTTTGGCAAAGGCTGACTGTGCTGTACCTTTTATATGTGAAAATTAGATGGATCTTCAGACTTAAAATTGTTGGTTAGGGATCAGTTAAGCAATGTGACACATATCCATTTCACTACACTTCTTTGCAGTATGAATTTTAGATTAACTCCTAGCCAAGGTCAGTCTCTGAGGAGAAAGTCCACATGTGCATGCATTCACACGTGTCAGTGTAAGGTATCAAATTTTTTGCCATTAAACTGTTCTTCTAAAGAAGAACAGGTATAGCTATTGATAAATATTGACCATATAACCATAACTGCTGGTGGAGTAACTCTTGCTGTACTTTGTATGTTGATTACCAAGCTCATTGTAGGTAGACAAATCTTGCCTGTTCATTCTTACCTTCAATTTATTTCAGCGAGAGATTGGCTGTAGATGGGGAAGAAGAGGGCTTTGAAATGTCCGTTATTGCCTTTTCTCTTGCCAGTCACTGCTGCCCAGGGCTGCAGTTGAAGTGCTTTTGATAGTCCCTGGCATTTTGTTTGTGTGAGTACAAAAGGCAGATCCGTGCTGTGCACACCCTCAGCAAAACAGCTGACATATCCTTTAAACTTGCCCACCAGTGAATCACAGTCTGGTTTGGGAAGATCTGTCAGAGGTGAGGGGTTCCTTTAAAACTTTGGAGTTGTGGAGGCTATTTTTTTTCTTTTTTTTTTTACATTCTTTCCCTTTAAGTTTGGGTCTTTTGAGTATTGAAGTTCACATTTTCCAGCGAGTTGCCACTTGTTCTGTAGAACGTACAAAGTACTTAACAGCAAGGAGTGCTGTTGCTCTATCCAGCTCGGGCATCACCAGTTGTTTTCTTAACAAAATTCTCATATTTGATGTGATCAAAAGAGAAACTTCCAGTTGTTGTTTGTCTACTGGGTGCTTCAGACGGAGGGGAGAACATAGCTGATGAATGAGTACCTTAAAGTGAGACCTCTGCTTGAGTTCAGTCTACACTAATAGATTGGGGGATTTACATAATTTTGCGTAACACTTAAGTAATCTTGCATAGTTTTAAAAGCTTTGAAAGACTGTCAGGGAATCATCAGAGGCACTCTTTTGGTAGTTTGTGTACTTGTATAAAGAAAACATTTAATCTGAGTCTTTCAGCTATTTATTTTGCAGACTAAACTACCTTTTTGACTTCTTGAAGAACGTGAAAGGCTAACCTCTGGAGCCAATAGTGGCGTTTTTTTCTTGTTCAGAACATCTGTGGCATCTGTTGTCTTTTGGGTTTTGGTGTCTTTTTGGTCTGTATATTGCTAAATTCCTGCCTACCTTTTTTGCACAGCTTACAGCTGTGCAGACTAACACAATTTCCTGTTTCTAATGCGTTTGAAAGCAATATTTGTAATGTATTATTAAGACTCCTTGACCAAAGAGGTGATGAATTTGTGTTTTTGTTATACTCCAGATTAAGACTTTTAAATTTTACAAGTATATAAATAGAGTAATAAACACACTTAAGCGCGTGTATACTCCTGGAGTGTAGCTTAAGCTTTTCAGAGTTTATTTCTCATAAGACTGGTTTTCATACTTGGACAAAACTGGGGTTTATTTTTTATTTTGTGAATAAAATATGTTTTCCCATATGGAGTGAGACAATGGGATTATGCCAAAACACCCTTAGCTCAACCTTCAAAGGGTACAATTCCATAAATATCATCCTTTTGTCACAGGGTTTCTAGTTTCTGCTACCAGGATCTGTTATTATTACAGCTGCAACACACAGAAGTAACTTGTGTCTTTTAGCAGAGACCATTTTTGTCTTTTATTTCCCCCGTTTGCACTGACATTTTAGGTCGCATTCAAAGAAGTGATTTGAGTGCCGTAATGTTTGTTTGCTTTCTCAGAAATACTGTCCCAGATTCCATTCAAGTGGTTTCCAGATTAACTTTACTGATACTAAAATCCTTTTTAATTCCACTACCAAGTGCTAACACCACCACACTCTGTGTGTGTGTCTGGGGAAGCACTGTTTTTTTCTTGTGTGTCTTAGGAAAAAGGGGCTTAATACGAAATCAGTGCCACCAGTACAACTGCAGGACATGGGGTGGACAATGCTGCAGTTTAAGGGCCTGGATCTTTCTGGATATAATCCTGATCTCACTTCAGAGGTTGAGTATTTAAGGTTTAACTTTCTCATAGTTTTGAGGAGATTGAAGCATCAACAAGAACAACATATGGCAAAGTTTTTTCTTAGCTGCCGGTGTGTGTGGAGCAACCAACAAAGTTATGTAAATAAATGTATGCAGTCTATTTGATTTGATATGCTTGACTATTTCTTTTTTCTTTTTTTCTTTTTTTTTCCCCTCCAGCTGGTAACTGTGATCTCAGATACAACTCCTTCATGTGCGAGGGTCAAAGAATGAGTAAGAGCCTGCTAATAGAGGACGGTGGGAGTTGTAAAGAGGGAAAGACAGGAATAGAGTCTCTCTGAGCGTTTTTCTGTTCAGCTTTGGCAGTTCTGTAAAAACGGTGCAAAGGATGAAAATGTTGATCCAGACGTTTGCTCTGGGCAGTTGGGATAGGTAGAGCTGGATGACAGTAAATAGTCAGAGGGAAGGGGTGGTTCTCAGGTGGTGGGTGTGAAGTTTGTGCGAGGGTGCGATGTGGGGGCCATAGGTTACCCATCGAGGACTAGCGTGACCTTGTGGCTGAACACGAGCATATGTGGATGGATCCTTCCCAGTGTAACTGTCTGGGATGGAGAAAAGTGGAGATTCACTGCAATGGCTTGCTGCGTTCGGGAAGAACGTAAGTTTCTAGAATTGTTAAAGCTAAATCCAGAATATTCAGAATAAAGTCAGTTTGAATATATTGGGTGAGGCAGTGTGGATTTTAAGGGAGTTACTGCTATACTTGTTATCTTCTGTTTTTTCAGTGGCTGTAGGAATCTACTAGTCAAATGATTTTTTTTTTTGTTTTGTTTGTTTCTGTAGCTGGTACAGAATGTTCTAAAGCTTTTTTTCCTTTTTCCTTTTTTTTTTTTCTTTTTCTTTCTCTGCCTCCCCACACTAGAGGGAAGTTTCTAAGCAGAAAGCTGAGGTGTGGATGTACAGCCTGCTGGCTGTTCGGCACAGGCTTCTTCACTGATCATGTAGAGCACTCGAGGTTTCTTCACAGTAGCTTTCAAAATAGTGTTCCTTACATGTGAGTGTTACTGGTGCCCGTGTGGAGAGTTGGCAGTAAAGCGTAAGCAACGTGCTTGTTGCGGAGCAGGTAGCTTGTACGATCTGCAGAAAATAAATTTTGATTCTTATATATAACATGCACACGCAGATTTCTGCCTCGGTGTGGTTTTTTTTTCCTTTATGTGTGTGTGTAATTATTTTTTTTTAATTTTCTTTTTAAGGATTGGACCTATCCCATGAGGAGAGAGATGCAGGTACGACATGCTTTCATTTACCATTTACCTGTGGTGCATTCCACAAGAAAAAGGAAGTGCCCTACAAAGGAGTTGGTGCCAAAATCCATGTTTAGGGGTAAAGTATCAGGCAGCACCATGGGAGAAATGTGCAAGGATTGCCAGCTTAGAGTGCAGGTGGGCTTGGATCTGTTGTGCAAGTAGCAAAAAAAAAAAAAAAAACCTCAAAAGTAATTTTGTCATTTTCAGGATCACCCAAATACTATATTTTTGCGTTTGGGATTTTTTTTTAGAAGGTGATTGCTAAAAATGCATTGGAGCTTTGCTTTTTAACTTGGTTGGAAGTAGGTGTTCTCAAGTAGGATGGATAATTAAAATTTTCCTACCCTGATGCTGGCTGAATCTTTACCACAAGACAGGATCTGTTGACCTGCATTGCACGTCTTTATTGGTGGGGAGAGAAATGGGTAAAGATGGGTGTTTTCCTACTACTAGGAGAAAGCTAGTGTATCTTTTTCCATGAAAGTGATTCAGAATTAATTACAAGGCATGATTATATACAAAGTTGAGTTCCCTTCATTTGATCTGGGGCTGGGTAAGAGGCAGTAATCAAACTGGAACTTAGTCCAAATAAAGGGCTTGATTCGTGTTCCAAAACAAGATCTCCCGTACAAAGATCATGTTTCTTTTATTGTGCCAAACTGATTTTTTTCCCCCTTGTCCTGTTATAAATGACACTTGATAACACATCTCTCACTGCTGTGTAAATTACTTGTTTCCATGGCTGTAGTCTGAGCTGAGTGCAATGTATTATTTCAAATAATTTTGAGTTGGTATTAAATGTCTGTTCTTCTGCTTCCTAGGAAATCTTACCTGGGCTATTTTTAGGCCCATATTCTTCAGCTATGAAAAGCAAGGTATGAGTTTTCAGAAAAATGTCTTGTAAGGAAACTTTACTTGTGGTGATTTGATTTGTTACTGTGGTGATACGTTCGAGAGTTCTCTATACAGTTGTAAATTTGGTTGCAATCCTGAACTGGAACATAAAAGATGCCAGAGCAGAAGTAACAGGCAGTGCATGTGTGAAGGGATTACTTCAGGGGGAAAAAAAAAAAATTAAAGAGCCCCAATTAATTTTTTTTCATACGGCTTGAAGTTCTGCATGCGTTCATACACAGTGCATGCTCTCTCACTTTGTCTGGTCCACTTTACCTCCTCCTGACAAGCCAGAGAAAAGTGCAAGTTGGAAATGACTTGTGCTCTGATTACAGTGAGCATTCCTCTGTGAGCTTTTTGTATTAAAATTGAGTCTTACAGTTAAGCTTGAAGAGTATTTTTCTTAGAAACAGGTAAACGGTTTGAGACTTGCAGGCTACCAGTCATGCAATCTGTTTCCTTAGCAAAAGTGTCACAACACAAATGAGCACCAGGAACTTGCAGGGATGCAGTAAAATAGGGCAAATTGCATCTATAACAAAGTCAAGCACTGCTAAGACAAAGCTTGTATCTGCAAACTTACCTTGGAGTTTAAATGATCTTATTTTTAGTGATCTGATTCCAGTAAGAATCCCAACACCAGCTGAGAATTACTACATTGTGTAGGGACTTGCAATTTCCTGCAAAGTGAAGGGTGGGCAGAGACAAATAAGTTCATCAAATGTCTTCCTTACTGCCTGTTCTTTTTATCGTAGTTAGGAATGCTTCCTGCAGCTCCTAATGGTTGTGTTTTGTCTTCTTGAAAGACAAAGTCTTTTGCACTATGCTTTGAGTATTAGAAAATTAACTCTGATGTTGAGGATATGATTGTAGCCTTATTGTGTTTATAAGTGTAGCCTTTTTATTGTTGTGTAATAGATTCTCTATTTTTTTTTCCTTCTTCCACAGCTACCTATACTTCAGAAACATGGAATAACCCATGTAATATGCATACGGCAAAACATTGAAGCAAATTTTATTAAACCAAACTTCCAGCAGTTATTTAGGTGAGAAATGATCAAGGGGTTTTTTTATGTGTGTGTTGCTGTTCCTTAAATATTTTCATGTTGTCAAAACTATTTGAAAAATATGCTGAGGTGTAGAAAAACTCTTAAATCCCAACCACATTTTTTGAACTCTGGACATAGGCAAGTCTGCAAATGAGAAGTTAGTTTGTTAGTTTGCAGTAACTCTCTTTGGTTTGAAAGCTGTTAGTCCTCAGTACAGTTTGTCCTGCCGATAATATATTTGAGGTAACTTAATCAGAATAAGTGTACCTCTGAAAAGTGGCATGGAGCCCCAGAAAAGAATGCTGGCCCACATTTACAGACTGCTGGAGAGCATGTGAATGTGTAGTACGGTGCTGGCAGTCAGGTGGGTCACCTGTGGAATAGCACGTGGGGATTTCTTCCACCTCGAGAGGTGATTTTGTCAAGAGGTTCTGGGAGAAGGCTCCTCTCTTGCTTCCTCATAAGGAGAGCTCCATGGGTTGCTTGGCTGCAGAAATTCTGGAGCTCAGACTATAAAGAAAAGCTGGGAGGGTAGCGCTGGCTTCCTTCCGCAGGTGTCGGTGGTGTTGGGGTTGAATCAGCCCTACGTGTCCCGGTGGCAGCAACTCCTGTTACTGTGTGCTCATAGCAGCTGTTTTCTTTGTAGGTATTTAGTCTTGGACATTGCAGATAATCCGGTGGAGAATATAATACGATTTTTCCCTATGGTGAGTTTTGGTGTGTTCGTGTGAGTGGGTTGGGAATGGAGTTGCCCAGTACAAGTTTTCTGAACTTGACAGTTACCAGCCTTAAATTCAGCATACCCAACCTGAAACACCTGAAAAAGCTGTGAACTCTTAAGTGACCTTATTATTGCCACTTCAGGAAGCATAATTAACTCCATTTTACAAGTACAGAAACTGAGGCAGGGTTGCGGGAGTTATATTTTATTATGGTTTAAAAAAAAAAACACAAAAAAGACTGTTCTTTAAACAGTTGAATCAGATCATGAGAGAATGCTGGAGACCTTGGCCTGCAGGAAACTTATTTTTTGTGCCTGAGAGTATTTACATCTCTTGTATCAAATATTAAAACAAATTCAACAGAAAATAGTAACTGGTTGGTTAGTAGTAGTAACAAGATGCTTTACAGCATCTTGAAACATGTTTACTGTAGAGGAATTAAAAAGTAACTGTAAGTTAAACAGTACCTATTACATACTGACCTTTGGAAATAGAATAAACCCCGAGTTTTGAGCTATGGGCTTGGATCTTTAGTTTGCAACAGGGCAAAAGCAGTATGATCCTTCCTCTTCCCCCTCAAAAAAACCCAACTAAAATACCAAAAAGCAGAGGTGGTCATGTTTTTGCAGAACAAGGTGGCAAATCAGTTTTTCTAAAGTATAATATCATTTGATTAAGCAACGTTCTTTGCAAATGTTGCAGTTACCGACCTCTTAATAGCTCTATGTTTGTGTATTTTTAAGAGTCTCGACTGAGTCTTCCCCAGAGCTTATTTAGCTTTTTGCTTTTCATGTAGTCAGCTGTTTTCAGCCTGACAGTATTCCACTTGCCACATCCCATGTCACCTTAGAGATTGATTAGACCTAATTTTATAAGTGAAAACATCATTGGAGAATTTCTGGGAAGACACAGGTGTCGGTGGAGTGGTCCAGGCCGTGCTGCTGCTGCTGCGTGTTGGTTTTTGTTTGTGGGTTTTCCTTCCCCACCTCCGTTAAGCAAAGGTGTTTGGAAGTTACTTTAATGTGTGACATAATGATTGCAAAAGGCACACATACTGGATATTTATGTATTTTTGTTTCTGGCTTTGCACTAGTTTTTTGTCTACGATTTTATGCATCAGGTACAACAGAAATATAAATGCCCAGTTGAAGTGATGCCTACATCTGTATAAACAGTGCGTTATTGTCACAGTGTATAAACACTGATACAAAAATACTACCAAATTTATATGCAAGCAGTGGTAACCTGTAAAATAATCTGAAACTTTGAGTCTTGTAATTTTTTTTCTTTTTAGACTAAAGAATTTATTGACGGAAGTTTACAAAGTGGAGGTAAAATCATATTAACTTGTTTCTTCATTTACTAATATGTTATTGTTAAAGCTTTAAAACTAAGTCGCATCTGTTAGAGGCTCTTGAGTATGAGGCTTTCTTAAATTTGGGGGTTTATTTTGTTTAACTTGAACTATATTATACAAGTTCAGAGGAAAGTGGTGGTCTTCCTCTTTGCCTCTGAGTGGAAAACAAACCTCTTTGTGTATCTGTTGTGTTTTGTGGGGTTTTTTTCCCCCACTTTAAACACAACTGTGTTTGGTGCGTGAGGTTTTTTTTAGTCCCCTCTCTGAAGTAAGGCCTTAAATCTGCATTGTGGTCTTGAAATGCAGGTTCTGTTACTCAAAATCTCCAGAGGAGGAGGAATCCGTGCTTCTGTATCCCAGGGCAGGAATGAAGGAAGTGCAGTTAGTAACCTGGAGCGAAGAATGATACACTTACTATTCTTAGGCTGTACCTTGCTCCCGTGTAGTTGTCCATAATAAAGTTAAAACTACCTTTCAAAGAATTTTCTTCAGTCTGTACAAGTATGGCTGGTTGTCTGTTTTCTCTCCCCTTCTCAGGAAAAGTTCTTGTCCATGGAAATGCAGGGATTTCTAGAAGGTAGGAAACTGGCCATCCTGCTTACTAATTTTTTCCTTTTTAATAATGGAAATACGTCTTACTAAATTCTTTTGTTTCTTTTCAGTGCTGCCTTAGTTATTGCGTACATAATGGAAACATTTGGGGTGAAGTACAGGTAAGAACCGAGCACGGTCAGGTAGTTAAACGTTTGTCTGGAGAGGCTTAGGTGAGGGAGTACTTTATCACAGATAAGAAATCCAAAATGTCCACACACAATCAATTTTTACTTCAAGTGCTGGAAGCAAATAATAATTTTGGAGGGAAGTAAACAGTCGTGTATTGCCACACCAGCCAGTTGTTACCTACTGAGATCAAGTAAAGGTTTTATGTGGGGCAGATCGTTCCATTTTGCTTCAGGGGATGTTTATTTACGTCCTTTCTTCAAGAAGTAGGTACCTGCTTGCCGAGGGGAGCAGGATACCCTCCTGCATGTCTTGCTGTAAAACAAGCCCCCAGAGGCTGTTCTAAGTAGTGTGTTGAAAACAAGCCAGCAAGCTGAAGACTGGAGATGAGGGGGGAAAATAGTATTTTACAAGTACAGCTTCCCATTTTGCCCAATTTCAGTTATACAGACCAGGTCTGAGGAGCATTGAGGGGGTGTGTATTTCCTAAGAACAGATAATTGGAAGGAAGACTCCTGAAGCCACAGAGACTTTTGTTGTAGTCAATTTTTTCACTGAAGTATTTTCTCTTTCTTCATTCTAAGGGACGCATTTACTTATGTTCAAGAAAGAAGATTCTGTATTAATCCTAATGCTGGATTTGTCCATCAACTTCAGGTGACTTTTTTTTTTTTTTTTCCTCCCTAGTCATAACTCAAAAGCCACTTGATGAATCATTTTCCTGCAAAACAGATGTTTCTACTTAGGCTTAAAGTTTAGTGTAAAAGTGTGCTTCAAGTAAATGTCAGAAGCTATAGCTGAGCTTAGGAGAAAGATGAGTGGGTGCTCCAGTTCATTAAACTTAAGCTTCAGACAAAGCAAATCCAGGAAAGGAGGAGAAATAAAGATCCTGTTGTGTGCTGTGATCAGGAGGATCTGAAACAGTTTAAGTGGTGGCGAAGGAAAGGGGAGTGAGTATTGTGGCACACAGCAGCGACGCTGCTTGACACCTGCCTTCGTAGGTGATGAGACTCACAAGTCTGAAACGGCAAACGGCGCTCGTCAGGGAGTTGTGTTATCGCATTCCGGAGTCTCTTGGGTGGGTGGTGGGCAGACATCAGGACAGTACGCGGGAGCAGATTGGCAGTGTCTCTGCTCTTACTGAGGTGGCTGGCAGGAAGATGATTATCTACTGAGTTTGGGGGGGTTTTGGTGTTTTGGTTTTTTAAAAGTAACTCCTGTGAGTTGTTGTGTAGCACTGAAAGCTTGACAGGTGGCTAGAACACATCAGGGCCATGTTTGTTTGTCTCTAACAAGTCTCTCTGTGCTGCGTTTTGTTTGCTTCTGCTGTCTGAGTTGCCTTCTGGGAGCAACCATTCATTCTCTGAACATTCTTCCAGATTTTTAATTTTTTTTAAATGAAAGCTTACTCTCTTCCTTAAAGCCATTTTTAATCATCCTTTAAGTTTTGTTTTGCTCTGTCTTCTTGACAGTTTTTGTCATTCATGTCAGAGCAGCAAAGAACTTTCCCCTCTAATATTTCTGTCTTAAGTAAGATGCTGTCTAGTCCATCCTAGTGAACTCTCCGAATTAGTCGTCCTCACCTTTACAAAGCGTTATGCTGAATTAAAAGCAACGTGCATTATTAAACTTTTTCAGGAATATGAAGCCATCTATCTAGCAAAATTAACCATCCAGATGATGTCACCACTGCAGCTGGAGAGATCCCTCTCAGTTCCACCAGGTACTACAGCAGGTCAGAAGTTGTGTGCGACGCCACCTGTCTCACCGAGTGTTGTGAGGCCGTTTTCACTCTCCCTGCATAAACCTCTGGCAGCAGTGAATCCCAAACTTTTGGGATGAGCGATGGTTGCAGGTCGTGTGCAAGCTATATTCAAACTTCAGGGTGCAGCACTTAAATATTTCCGCTCTCCTGGAGTTGAGCTTTCCTGTGGTGCTGTCTGCACTTTCATACTCTACTGGAGAAGGGCCCTGCCTCTCCATGTCCTTCAAAAACCACAAGTTCCCTACAGGAATCAGGAGTGATGGGTTGAAAGCAGCCAGTGTTAATGATGTCATTGCTTCCCTTAAAATTAAGGTAGTTGCTCTGGAGAAGAAAAAAAATTCTGCTCTGCTTTTAAACAGATAATGGGGATTAAAGCATGTAAAAAAACCCCCAAGTGATCTTAATCATACAGAGGTGTGCCAGTAGGAACCCCTGCTTAAGGTCAGTGAAAGTGGCATTTGAGGGGGAGATGTAAAGTGCAAAAGAAAGTGGTGGATTCTAGGAAATCTCTGTGTGGAGAAGTGCACGGGAAGAAGGGCACTGTCACAACTGGCTGTCCCAAAGCCGAGTGTCTTCAAAGGGCAGAGTCCCCCAGAATAGGACAGTAACTACTGCCCTGTAGTCCTGCTTGCAGCTGCCCCTTTCAGATGTCTCCTCCTTCCCTCTTCCCTCTTGCAGGAAGTTTAAAGCGAGTGCATGAAGAGGACGAAGAACTTGGAACCATGCAAGTGGCAGCAGCACAGAATGGATGATACTCGAGGACAAGTGCTGTTTGTATTGTGAATTCCTGCCGAGAAAGGTGAAGAAAACTAGGGGAAAGAAAATTAATAATGCAAAATGATGAACACACACACACATAGCTTCTTTTCAATTACATGTTGCTTTCAGATGTAAATCTGCCTCTGCAACACACTAAGCATCATTTTTAAGATGTTGGACTTCTTGAATGAATAGATGGCACTGATTGTTTTACTCCTTTTTTACACTTTACAGTTTTATTCTAAACCAAGATTTTTGGACTTGCAAAGAGGTATTATTGCAATAATGCACTTTTCATACTTGAAATTTCTTTATTTGTATGATATAAAGTTATTACTTTAAACAAAATGCAAGCTGGGGGGATTTGTTTATAAAGTTATTTGTGTAATTTATAACAAGAGACTTTAGTAAAGAAAAAGTTTGCTACAACTCATCTTGTTCTCAGTATATATCGTGGTCGTGGTTGTAGAAATGTGCTTTAAGAAGTGCGCTCTGAGCTTCTGCTGGCAAGTGAGCATTTACCTTGTCATAAAACCTCATTATATACTGAATTACTCCGAGACAGGCACTTGGGAGACCAACTGAAGACAAAATACTGTTCTAAAAATGTCACCTTGTTTTATGCAAGTTAGAAGTTTATCGGAGTACTGATCAGTTAGTTAATAAAACAGCCATGTGCTGAATTAATACAGAGGGCAACTATCAGTTTTATGCACATCAAGACTGAATTCTTTTAGCTAGCATTAGAAGGCTGCTCGTTAAACTAGTTTTAAGTTGAACAAGCCAGTATGGCCCATCTGTCTACCAGAATAGTGCGTCTTCAAACTGGTATTGAAGGAGTAGTTTGCTTTGTAAGACGGTAGCTGAATTATTTGAGATAAAAAATTGAGTTGGTGATTGGCAACTGAATCCCAGAGCACTGGCTGTAACTGTATCAGGGGAAAGGACTCACCTCTGCTCCTTTAAAGCATTAGGAGTCAATTAAGGCCACGCACTTATCAGTGCTTTAAAGTTTTCAAAACGGCCAGAGCGGCTGGTGCAGCTTTAATTCTGCTCACTTCTCGGAAGCACCACGATAACCCCTGGCTCTTCTGCATCTCCGCTTCCTTTGCCAGCCAGGTTGGTGCGTGAAAGGTGTGAACGAAATGGCACGGCTCCTCTAGAGCGCTGCGGTGACCAAGGGAGTTGGAAAGCCATTAGAAGAACTTGTGTGTATTCGGAGAAATCTGAGCTTGTAGTTCTAATTTTATGAGGAAGCAGGTGTGCTCAGGAGAGTTGCATCAATGTAAGAGATATTTGGGGGATTCAGCTGTCTTCCTGTAGTCCGATGCAACCGATGTCCTCTGTCAGCCCCCGAATGAGCAACCCGCGAACACCTTTGGATTTGAAGGCAGGAATCTGGGCAGCACAGACGTTGCGTGCTGTGAGGAGCTCTTCTGGCGCTGCTTTTTGCTAGAGGACCATCTGGCAGCTTGTTGACTTTGTAGGAGCCTGTTTGCTTTGTAGGAGTTTTCCACCTCTCCTTGTGTATTCAAGGCAAGTTGACCACGCCTGTGCCTCGCTGATCTTTGCTCGGTCATTGATCCTCTGCCTTGTCTTGCAGCTCCTCAGCAGCTTTGCCACGGGCCAGTCCCTCCCAAAGCGAATCGGTCAAGCAGTTGGCAGATTCTGGTTTGAAAACCACTGCCTGGGTCAAAGCATGCTGCTAGAACAGATGTTGGTGACACCTGAGGAGAAAATGCTCCTGCAGTAAATCATGGCTTTTAGCTGAGCCGGGACAGCGGGGGGTGAGGTTTTATAGCCTCATAACCTCTTCTCACATGTAATGTGGAGGCTTTGGAGCGCTGTGTGCAGGGAGGGTTCACAGCTTCAAGGAAGCTGAACCAGCCTTTGCTGCTGTGTGTCCTCAGCTCCCTGCATCAGCAATGGAGCAGTGGAAATCCTTCAAGGAAAAAAAAAATCCTATAAGAAATGTACCATGTGTTGGGTTAGGAAACTTTCATCTTGAAAAATGGAAGCATGACTGTTATCTCCTTAAGATCTACGACTTGTCAGGGTTAAGCTGACCGGCTAAGCACGCGGTGCTGGTTTCACAGTTGCAGGGTTTGGTGCATGCTGTTGACTGACTCTCTTGTAAAAGAATACTTCTGGGCCTGTTGGGAAATACATCCTGGGATGTTTCACCACTTACTTACCCCACGAGGCTGCCACATGGCTGCAGTGAGGTTTGAGGATGTGTCTCTCACACAGCTCACCAGCTGCTGCCAGCTTTAGGCTTCTGACAAAACAAGGGTGGGAACCAGAGCTTCTGCATAAAATCGTTTTCTGTTTCAGCTCCCTTGGGAAGGGGTAGAGATGAAACACAGATGGAAGAACACTCCTGATTCATCTGACTAGCCCCTGCCAGAGAGGCTTGTTCGTGTGTAGTCTGGTTCTGTTACCTCAGCAGGATCTTGGTGCTTCCCTGGGGAGACTGTTTCACAAGCTAACGAGCTTTGTGACTAAGAATTTTCCACGAATCTTTTTTTTATGCCATTACCCCCTGCTGCTGCCTTCTGTCATTCTGGTCTGTCTGCCTACTGCCTTGCAGATAACAGCCTCGCAGATCCTATGGGTTTTTGAGATTAATTTTCCTCATGCATCTATTATTAAGCCTTTTATTTAAAGCTTCTTGACATCTGTCTCATTTAGCTTACTGCCAGTAGGTATTTCAATTACTGTTTGCTTTCTGGGGTTAAACCAAAGGTGGTCATTAGCAGCAGGGGTCCCTCACTCTGCTTTTAAAGTAGCAGTAGAGGTTGAATCGCAGAATGTTCGGGGTTGGAAGGGATCTCTGAAGATCATCTAGTCCAACTTCCCTGCCTGAGCAGGATCACTGCGAGTAGATCCCACAGAAACATGTCCAGCTTGGGTTTGAATCTCTCCAGAGATGGAAACTGCACAACCTCTCTGGGCAGCCTGTGCCAGTGCTCTGTCACCCTCAAAAGTAAAGAATTGAACCTCCTGTTTTCTAGTTTGTGCTCGTTGACCATTGTCTGGTCACTGGACACCACTGAGAAGAGTCTGGCTCCATCTTCCTGACCCCTGCCCTTTAGATATTTCCTCCCTTCCCCAAAGAAGCTGTAAGAACCCAGATCCTTGGGGCTCCACCGCTCTATGCGAAGGTGCTAAACTTCGCTTTTCCAGCTTAGAGGAAACAGTGAAGCAGCTGGAGATCTCTTCCTCGTGGCGGGAGATCTGTTACACAGAAAACAAAATCCCAAGGAGGAGGTAACACTGAACCTCTGGAGAAGCAGGTGACTTTGTTACAGTGGATTTCTGAAAAGATCTTTGGTTCCTTTGCTCCCTGGGAGGGGGAAAGTCTTGCCCTTTCCTGTTGAGCCAGTTCTGCTGTAGATAAATTAACAGGGCTCCTTCAGTTTAGGACATGCATCGTGTATTTTAAATAACTGTTGCTGTTGGACACTGTTATTTGTGGCATTTCCCTGGTTCCTGTGACAGTTTAAAATACATATACCTGTGCACGAGGCGTTCTTCCAGCTGGCTGGGACCACCACAGCATTTCTAAGTCTGCAGCCTCCACCTGCAGCTTCCAGATCGATTCAGTGTGTTCGCTGCATTTGCCAGCTGACGCTTCCAGGGCCTCTGCTGGGAACGGGCCAGTTTCTGCCCCGCAGCTTGCACCCAACAGCCTTTTCCTCATGTCAAAGACAAATCTCTTCCTCCAGAAGAATTCCTGAGAGCCCACGTGTGACAGTACCTCTCTCTCGGCACCGAGCTGCCATAGCCTGCAGCGAGGTTGGGAATGTCACCTCTGGTACAGAACAAAGAGCTCTTCAAAGCTAAGGGGATGCTGATGAGCTGGATTCTGCCCTGCGCAGCCATTGTCCTGCAGCCACAAAACCAAGCTTTCAACCCAATTCATTTGTTTTACAATGACCTAAGCTGGGTACACAGTCACCTGCTCCTCACTTGCACTAATCTTTTCATTAACTCTTAATGAGGGCCTGAAGCTATTTAGATGGTGAAGATATCACAGAATTCAAATAATCCACTTTAAATTAGTGGAAATTCAGAATTAATTAAAACTGGGAAAGGCAAGAAAATTCACCGCAGTTGGGGCCCAGCATAGATCAGCAGCTGATTTTATAGAGTTCAGGGTTGGGGCTCAGGCCACTTTGATAACCTGGGGGAGAACAGCTCTGAGAAAAAACAGGGTGTAAAGGCCAGAAGTAGGTCTGCTGTGCCTAAAGCATGAGCAGCTGCAGAGCAAAAAGCACAAAGTGGGTTAAAAACTCCTGCCTGGCTTTGAGACACTCAGGTCTCACCCTGTGCTGCTCCTGGCAGCTCTGGGCTTGTGTCCATGTCTGTGAGCAATCCAGCTGTTCGACACCTCAGGGGGTGTGCCTGGTGCTCCACCACCAGAATCAGCCAAGAGCTTCCTTTGAAGACTTGCTCCACAGAAGTCACATCTTCAGGAGTATCAGCTGTATGCTTAAAATCGATATGGAGCCTCAGAAAGCGTTCTTTTCAGTCTAGGGAGAGGAAAACAAAAGTACTTGCAGCAGGCAGGACTGTTCTGAAAAACAACTCTGGATACCTTCAACCAGGCACAACACAGTGACACGAAAGACAGACCAGATACCTGTGGCAGTCTTCATTTATTCAGCTTAAACAAAAATGTATTTAAAAAAAAAAAACCCAAATCAATAAATAAAACAGACATCACCAAGGAAACACTATATTGAGTGGAGTACCATCAGGAACATTAAATAGAAGCCCCACCACAGCTTAAAGTAGCTCTCCACACCACAAAGAAAGAACATTTTGTAAGGCCTAACTGTTCAGAAAAACAAGACTGGCTGTTCTGTATGAACCCTCACGTATTTATAATGCCCTATTCATAGATGTCGGATTTGTCACTCTCTTCACACAAAACCCCACTGTTGAAACCAGGGCTTTGTACATTATTTGCTTGCCATTGCTGGCAAAAGTGCTAAAACCATTTATCCGATCTTGTAAGTGAGAGAGATGCTCCAAAGCACCAACAGTCCCCCACGGGAGAAGGACGGGGGATTTCTCTACCGGTTTTTGATGCCGTTCGGCGTGAGTCATCACTGGTGAAACCACAGCCCAGCCGGCCCTCAGGAGCTGAGCCACCTATGGCAAGCTGGCCGGGCGCCTTTGGTGAAGCCAAGTGCGTTCCTGCCCATCCCAACTGCATTCCTGTCGAGTCCGAGCCAGAGTCCCACTCGAGATGGGGTGTACTCTTGTCTGACGTTCCAGTTTCGCCAATTACCTTTGCCCTGTCACAAACCCTTGGGTTATCTTTCTATGTTTTTGTCCGAAAACAAGTCATTATCCTGAAAACAAAGTTATCAGCTGAAGTGCAGGACCCCTGCAGTGCGAAGTACACGTCCGTTTCCAGCCTCGAAACATCAGCTTTAGTACAGTCCGTAAGGATTCTCCAACAACCCACACAAACAGTAACAAATTCAGTTTGGGAAAATAGTGCCTATAAAACTTTAGGTACACAAACAACAGCAGCACTTCCCGTGAGCTTTCATGGAAAGAACAGAACAAACGCCCGTTCCGCATCGCTAACTATTCCGCGCGAGAGAAGCATCATCCCTACCCGAGCTCCGTCACCCCTCCGTGAAGCACAGACAGCAGAACGATCCCAGAACAAGCCAAAGCTGTACTTTGGCTACCGAGAGAAGAGGCGCAAACCTTTAGAAAAATACAATGCAAGAAAAAATTTGAGATAAAAAATATAGACCTTTGGTTAAAAACCATCCCTTTAACGAGAGTCCTTTGTAACTCAGCTAGAACAAAAAAAAGCTTCACTTAGACAGAACGGTAGTAAAAATTAGTTCTAAGCGCTTATTTCCTAACCTGGAGGACCCTTCTAAAATGTCAGTAATACAGTTTTCTTTTTCAGGATTTACACATTTGATGTTCATTATTTCTAGGGATCGTTATATTTGCAGCAATAAACTATATAACTTTTCCACGAAGAGAATGTTTGTAACACAAGCTTCTCCACTGACAGTCTTTTCATAAAAAAATGACTAGAAGTTCTTAATTAAAGAACCGTTGAAACATATAGTTTTCTTCAGATACCGAATAGCCGAACTTCCTATAGAAATCCACATTTTTTGGCAGACACTCCAGTGTAATTTTGTAACAGTTCAGTCTCTTACTTAGCAACGTCAGGGTGGACGTTAATCTGAAAAAGACAGAGAACCAACCAGTAAATGGAATGGCCCTGAACGCTGGATCAATTAACATTTAATTAGTAAAAGTTATCAGACCTACTACTGAAGTTTCACAGCACTTTGCATTTTACTTCACTACACAGGATATTTGTTATCCCAAGGAGAAGGAGAAAAAAAAAGAACAGAAGTACTAGCTCCTTGCAGACAATTTTATGTTCTTGTTACAAGAACCTCGGCTTACACCCTGGCAGCTAGCGATAACCTCCCACTAAACAATTTTCACCTTTGCAGGAAGGATGGTGCCAAGATACTCACAGTTTACCAAGCTGCTTTCCTCTGCACTCCCTGCTTACCACGACATCTTCTATCCTTCCTCTCTGTGAAAATACAAGCAAGCATTTTTAAGTCTAACGGAACGCTGTTGCGTTTGTTTCCCTGCCTGCGTTAACATTTCATGCTTGGATCTTCCACTGTCTAATTTAGACACAACTCCTCCAGCGGTCGGCACGCTCGTAGTGCCCCCTCCTGCGCCACAGCCTTTCCCCGACGACAGATTTGTGTCTCTCTAGCTCTGTATTTTCACACGTCTGGCTGGGACTCCACAGCAGCGAGATCCTCGGCCATCTGCTCCAGTAGAACCAAGCTGTCTAGTTCAAAAGCTTGCAGGGAGGGAGCAGGGGTCAGACATCAAATTGCTCTTTTTCCTTAAGGAAAGCTAAAGCTTCCTTCTGCTATTTAGCTGAGCGCCCAAGGATGGGAACTATTTCTTATAAAGCAGAAGATACTTCTTCACACCGTAACACCATAAAAATAACGTGCATGGAGTCAGAGGACAGGGTTGTCCTCCTCATGTTAGAGCAGCAAGGAGAGAATTTACCTTTGCACAGGAGTGAGTGAACTTATGTTCTATCACCAGCGTTGCCGTAGCAACAATCTGTCCAAGATTCGTGTCTTCTACGACAGTAACGTAGTAATCGCCGGATCTCTTCATGTGCTCGAAGGTTTCTGTGGGAGCGGACAGACAGCAGCACTGTTAATCTCAGATTAAATCGCTGTGAAGGCTTAACACTTGCACCAGCATCTGAACATAGATCCTAGCAGGGCTCAGGATCACAAGGAAGATGTGCCCAAGAACGTGAAAGCCTCAGAGTCGGGCTAAAACCAGATCTCAGCTGCCGAGATCACCCTCCTTCCCCGGCGTCTCTGCAGACAGACACTCCGGTGAAGGTGGCAGCACCTCTTTAAGTTTTCTTACATCTTGGTTAAAGCAGTGAGGGGAGCTCAAGACACTGCGGAGCTGGGAGCACAGGCGAGCCTTGGCCTTGCTACTGCTGCCACAGCAATTTGGCCAAAACAAGCCGTCACCCAGCAGCCCCTGCAGGCAGGTCAGTCTCAAAACCAGATGTAGGACCGAGGCCTGGCCCAGCCAAGAAGCTTTTCAGCATAGCTGCAGCCAGATTCAACGCCGAGTGCCAAAGGCTGCCTCGGGGGAGCCAAACTAATAAAATCCCTCTGGCATCAGGCAGTCGGGAGCCTCGCACCCAAGCAGCTTTGCCGTCAGCATCAGTATCCTCCGGTTCCCAACAACCTCTATGAAAATGCCAAGAAATAGTGATAGACTCACTGATAAACTGCTCTGGGCTTGCAACTCCAGTTTCAGTCAGCTGACCCAGAACCTTAAAAAAGCCTGTTATAAAAGAAGGAGGGAGGGGAGAAACAATCCTCAGTGAGCGACAGAGACACACAATTAGCTCCAAATAGCACAGAACAGCCTGACGTGTTTTTTTGAAGAGTTAACATCCCCATGGCACCACCTGATTCAGTCCTATCTAAAAGCCTGCGCTCTGCATATTACAGAAGTAAACTGTAATCTTAAATCAGCGCCCCGGCCCTGAGCCATGCTGAAGGATCAGCTCACGCATCAGCAGCAAACTCCAGAAGATGCAACGTTCATGACTGAAAAGTAAAAGCCTGAAATGATGCAACCTTAAGCTGTATGTTCAGAACAACCTTTTTATCCAAGTTACAGAACCGAAGAAGTCTGAAGAATAATATGCTGGTTCACATTATTTTTATATTAAAGGGCAGTATGAACAACGGCACTGCTCCCTCTAAACCTGTGGTGAATAGGAAACTGGATTATTTAGAAGATTTGAATTCTAAGATTGTATCTGAGCTTATAAAAAACACTAAGACCAATTTTGAGGGTCACCCAACACAGCACTCAAATTCCTCACTGATAAAAATGACGCAAATCAGATAAAACAAGCAATCCTAATCTATTGAGATATGGCGCAGAAATACTTATTATCTAGCTCAGCACCCAGCTTTCATTTGTGATGGAACAAGATTCTACCTCGATTTAAATCTGCTGTGCAAAGTGGTCTCAAAACTAGGCCATCTCCTGGATCTACAGGAGAAATAGCAGGAGAAAATGTCGCTGTGTTCTCACTCCAGTCGAGTTCGTGGAGAATATTCGGGTCAAACATCGGCGTGTCATCAGGCATCACGGTTGCAACAGGCATCATGGCTGCGACAGGTGTTCTGGAAGAGAATGCACACGGGTAAGGAACATTTTGGTTTGCTTGTTTTAATCTCTGAATATGCTATCTCCCCTGGTGATATCCTGCCACGTGATGTTCCACAGGGACATAAGGAAAGGTGAATGAAACCAGAACCGCTGTTTGCTTTATCTGCCCTCGAAGCTCCTCAGCCTTCACCGGACTAGGCCGCCGCGTTAAACAAAGAGCTGGCGCACCAACACGGCACGTTATCTAAAGTCAACACACGTGGCACTTCTGTGTTCACACGGGAAGTTTTTCTCTTGGAAAAAAAAAAAATCGATGACATTGACTAGGATATTTAACCTTTACAGCCCTCTGAAAAGGAAAACACCTCTCAAGAAGCCTCCCTAACACACTGTTTACCGAGTACAGAGGAGGTCACTGGCATTAGTTCCATTTAAGACTGACAGTAGGAAAAGCGCACTTTTTTAAACTAGTCCCATCACATAAATATTTAGTATCTCAGCCAAGCGGCCCTACATCACACATATGAAAACACAGATGATACGACAGCCTGCACACATGCTTACAGCCCGTCCTGCGTGTCTCACGCAGTCGTGTTTGCTTGGTGTATTTACAGAACCTAATGCCATCGCAGCTGGAAAGCGCAGCGGCACCTTGTTGTCCTTTAACAGGTAAAACACGGAACTGCCACGATGATCGTGAGACACCTGTTAAGGATTAAAGGCAGATTTGGGAATCTTGTGTTACTTGAGATTAGTGATAAGAGGAAGCAAAGGGCTATATTCTCCTAATCGCTAGATATAGGAAAATAATTCCTACTTTGTCACCTGGGGAATGCCTGGTCAGATTTCTGGTATGAACAGAACACATCATGGGAACTTCTCCTGAGACTAAGCTCTTTACACATCTTCAAATCAACTTAGCTGCCCCATAAAAGATACAGTAGCCGCACGCTACTGGACAGGCCAAATAAACAGCAGAAAGAAAAATGTATTTGGGATGAATACTCTTTGAAAGAAAACATCTTACAGCCCTGTTAAGCTGCCTGGAGAAAGTACAGAGGGTGTTAGCTATGAAGCATCTCAGTGTAACTGCAGCACGTGAGCCTCAAAATTGAAAGTGTCTCTGGAAACTCAACTGAAAAAGCTTCTTAAAAACAAACAAACACACGCACACAAAATCTTTTTTTATGCCACCTGCTGGTATACACTGGCCTGTAAATTCTGGTTTTCATCACAATCTTGCACATAAAAGTTAAAAAAAAATGTTATTATAGTAACGAAGCAGCAACACGAGTTCTCATCCCACGAAAATTTTCAAAATCAAACAGTGGGGGAAAATGAAACGCAAAGAAAAACCTTCCTATAGATGGGAGACTTGAAAGTGAGAATCCAGGTCTTCTGAGTGCAAGTCCTGAGCCTTAGTGATCAGATCATGCCGGTACACACAAAGGACTGCAAGCCCATTGCTAGCGTATTGATTATGTCCCTGCTAAGCAAAACTGAAGTCTCCCTGGTCACAGCAATACATCTGGCATCTCTCTTCCTAGATCTTGATTATTCTAATGTTGCTGTTACCATGTCCCATTACAAAGCCTCCCTAAAATTCACGAGCGTTCATAACAACATTCAAATACCGTCCTGTACACAGTAAATCTAATTCATTTCAGTTCAGGATTACTGAATACCAAGCACACACAGCAGTAGAAAAGCACACGAAGGAAATAAAACTTCTAATGCTCTTCAAGCAGGTAGTGACAAACTAAGAGTTATTTTTCAAACTACATCTGGCACAGCTGGAGCAGGAAGTCTGAAGCTTCACGCACTTTCTGGAGTCAGGAACATGACTTACTCATCAGAAATGCATTGGCCAATTAAGAAAAAAAAAAAAAAAGAGACGAGTGTACATGAAGGAAGACGAGCTTCGGCCTGTTTCAATGGGTGGCCAGTTTCTCCCCCAGGCCTGCTGACCTTCCTCCAAGCCCAGGTGCTGGCCCTGGTCCACACCTGAAGCCTCCCCAGGAGCATCCGGGGCTCCCCATCCGTCTTGGGAGTGGGACTAGGGGACACGTTGGGCTCCTCTTGCCTGTCCCACCTCTCCCCACTCTGGGAACGGAGCGTGGTAGGGCGGGAGTGCCCCCAGGATGAGGGAGAACCCCCTCAGGTAGGTGCTGGGTCACACAGACCTCTGCCTGCTCCCCAGCCAGGGGGGTTATGGGGAGATAGAGCCCCCCCACGGCCTCTCAGTGGGGCCCCCATCCAAAATAGTCCCCCCCACTGGGGAGATCCACACACCCCACACGTGGCCCCTAAGGGGGTGCCCACAGCTTTGGGGGTTGCCTCACCTCACCCCCAACCCCTCTGGGGGTGCCTACACCCCTTCTCCTCACATCAAACCCCTAGAGGGGTGCCCACACCCCCTCACCTCACACCCAGACCCCCAGGGGTGAACCCACACCCCTTCATCTCACACCCAGACCCTCAGGGGGTCCACACACCCCCTCATCTCACACCCAGACCCCCAGGGGGG